TTATAAAATTTACTAAATCATAATTGAGAATCATTAACTATAATTATAAATTTATTAATATTTTTAAAATATTAATTATAAATTTAAAAATAATAATTAACTATTTTGTGAATAATTAAAAAATATTATAAAGATATTACTATTCTTAGTAATTAATATTACTATTAGTAACTATAAATTAAAATTAGTGCTATTAATTACTAGGGGGGACCTTGCGATGCAGGAGTTTTGTTAAAAGAATTTGAGGCAAAAAGAGTTAGGGGTGTACCTTGGGTTGTGTGGGCCTAACTCGAGCCTAATCCAATTCAACCCAAGCTTTTGCACAAGTTGGGCTTGAGTTTTTGAACTTCAAATTAGGTTTAGGCCAAAAATAACTTAGGGATAAGTAGACTACACTCCACCTCGGAAATTTGAAATTACAACCCCTCAGTTTATAGGGGGATAAGTAGCCCCCTATAAACTGCATCTTGCCTGTGGATTTGGCACCAATCCACAGTCAAGATTCATCTCACTTGTACGGTGGAGCTAAGATTTTTGGGGGTGGACTGAACAACAAAAACCCAAAAAACTTAAGGTTAACCTAAACTTAGGGGTTTGGGTTGAGGCCTCGAGTAGTTTAAACTCGACCCAACCCAATTTTATTAACGGAGTACGGGTACACCCGATGCAGAATTCTGAATTCCAGCAACCCCCCTACTAGCCTTCTCCCCCCTATAAACCACATCCTGCCTGTGAATTTGGCATCAATTCAAGGTAAGGATGCATTCTCCTTGTACTATGGGGCTATAAAATTCTGATCTGGGCTGATTGGTCCTTCTCCCATTTATTAATATGTTCTACATGTAAATTGAGCTATAAAGCTCAATAGGCCCAAGCCCAAGTCCAACCCAAGATGTTAGGTTAAGCTCGAGTTGGGCCTAAGTTGGTAGTTCGGGCCTGGGGTTAGTAAATTATCAGTAAGTACTGTCATTCTATTTTTGTTATATATTAGTAAATTATCAAAAAATTCTCTGCCTAACCCGATCTTTAACCCAACATCTTGAGTTACGGTTTGAATTGGACATATTGAGATTTACAGCCCAATTTCTAGGTAGAATAGATTGATAATATGTATATATGCATATCACAAAATATTGGGCAAATTCAAATTGGTCAAATTGGACTCAGGCTACTCAAACCCAACCTGTACTTGCATATGTGGATATCAAGTGATCAAAAGATAAATATTTCTTTATCTTAATTAATATAAAACTAGTGGGGCCTCATGTGATGCCCAAGCTTTGTAAAAGAATTTGAGGCAAAAGGAGTTAGGGGTGCAGCTTAAGTAGGCTTAATCCGATCCTGACCCAATTCAATCAAAGATTTTGTATAGGTTGAGCTTGAGTTTTCAATTTCAAACGTCTGTGTGGTGTGCATGAACTTGGTCATAGGTTTTATCAAGGGATGTAGCTATGTTACATCTAACGCTCTCTACAGTCTGGATGCCTTGTGAATGAGTTTTCTATTTGAGTTGGGAAACTAATGAGGTGTGTGATGTTTGAAAGTTTGAAGCTTGATGCTTCTGGAGTCTAACCATATCTTATTGCCATAAGAGCTAGCTTATTTTATGTATGAACAATTTGCATATAGTCTGATTACACCATCATGTGGCAGCTATTAAGCAACGTAGCTATTGTAATTTCTTCTAACATGAAAAAAAGAAGCATTCTCATTATTATGAAAGCTTTGAAAGGTTAAAATAAAGAAGACACTTATAGCTGGAAGCAAAAAAAAAAAACAAACAAAACAAAACACTATTTTTTAATCTCAGTACGACTTCTCAAAACCTCCAGAGAGCCCTGTCAACGAGTTTTTGTCCAAAAATCACCTTCCATTTGATCACCATTATGATCATTAATAGAAATCGTCAACTAAAAATTTAAATATTTTACATGACCAAACTATCCCTGATTGGCCAGTCAAGCTTAATAAATATTTTATGAAAAAATTACCCATTATGCCCATATACATTCTTTTGTTTAACTGGGATTGGCTAAATTAAATTTAGAGGTGATCATGAGTCAGGTCAGGCCAGGCCTGTGTTTGATTTTACACCTATGGTAATTTATATAGCCTAAGCCCAACCTAACCCGGGTGAAAGATAAGGTTCATGTTACATCTTTTACATATAAAATATTACATATAATATTTTTTATATTAAATGACATCTAATATGCATATAATCTCAAACATGATTCAATCATTCAAGGTTACTTATCATAAAGAAAAAATATTTATTAAGCGATTCTATGGAGGTTCTAACATAAACCCAACAGAGGGTGAATTCTAAACAATAGAACTCACTTATAGGGGAAACTCTTGGAGGTTCCAAAATGTCCCAATGGATCCAGGAGAAATGGGAAAAAATCGTTGTAAATTAGAAATAATATCCCAATAAAAAGTAATATTTGCATATAATTCTTGCCTTTCTTAGGTTGGTATGGTACCTACATCCAGGGGTGCAACTTAGGCCAAATTGGGTTGGGAATTTGTTGAATTTTAAATGAGCTTAAAACCCCCAACCCAATTTTGATGTAATTGATACCCTTCAGATCAAGCAACTCCAATTGCAACAAGGTTCAAAAAATCGTTACATATTGACCCGTATTGGCCGATACGTATCATATCGGGCCCTTCCCGATACATCCCTACAGGGATTGTATTGGGTCAGGGCCTGATTCAAAGGGTAGCCGAGACTTAAACTGGCCCCTCTAAACCAAAACCGAAAAAAGAACATCTGAAAGTAAAGAAAAAGGGCAGATACGCCCTATATATTATAATGCAGTGTACACTTTGCTACACTGATATTCTGAACTTTCCTTCAAAGAAGGGTACGATATATTAACTTGGCTTCACGCCTAAAGCCATGTTTGATATCAAAGCAATTTTCTTAGACAACACCATCACCTTAAAATTTATTAAAATACTGGGTTATGTGCACATTTTTCAATGTTATTGGATGCCATTAGGCACAATTAGACACTGAATAACATTTTTTCCATTACAGACTGTGTAAACGCTAGAAAAACACTGAACCATGTAGAGAATAACCATACATGACCTTGATACAAAACACATTCCAAGTGAAATATCCCAAAATTTTAGTTTCTTCCCCCCACCCCACCCCAAAAAAATACAAAAATAAAATGATAATCATATCATCCATTAATTGTTTTTAATCTTTAAAAAGCCTTGATACCTACAAAACTAATATCGAATGAACCAGTTATTATTGTTTGGTCATCAGTTATTAATAACTCGTGGATAAGGCGAAAGAATTGGGATCTGCTTCTCACATTGGGCGCCTCACGACTTCACAGGTACATCCCGTGTATTGGAAACTCCCTAAATAATTACACACAAGTAAGGGAGGTGTTCCCAATACACTGGGATCCGCCAGTGAGATCAGTGTGAGGCACCCTGTGTGAGAAGCAGATCCGGTCTCAAGGCGAAATTCATTAAGAACACACGGATAAGCCCTCATTAGTACAAGTCGCCAAAATGGTTCCAAATCACAACACCAGCTCCAAAAAGTAGGAAAAGAAGCTGTAATAGGGTGTGCATTAACTATACCAATGTGAGCTTCTAATTCTTCAATCTGTGAATGGGCATTGGTAATAGTAGTATGGGCATCCACATCCTTTCCCTGGGTTGCTATTCTGCATCAGGCCTTCCACAAGTGCCACAATAATGGTACATTTTACTCAAAACGAGCTACCAAACCACACCGCCCATGAATATATGGGTATGTGATAAATGCATGATATATAGTCTCTGGTGGATCTTGATAGATCATGATAGGCATCTTGATCGACAAGATAATTCGGATCTTACTGTTTGGTTATCAGCTATTATTAATACGTACTTCTGATTGAGTGTATTCGCCCGTTGCTACGCATATGTTTTCTTTTTAGTGTGTTTGTTACGCATATTAGTTGTTACAAATTTATAATTTACAAACTCGTCCGACGGTCCGAGACTCCGACCAAACTGAACAGCTACTATTCAAGTACGGCATTAACTACAATACCTCAAGCCCTTTCCTTTACGAAAAGGATCCCTCATTCCCGCCTGCTCCCTTTAAAAAGCTTTCGACTCAAAACGCCTGTAAAACAGAAACCCAATTACAGAAACAGTTAAACGTTACAAGAAACTTCGGTAAACCACCTAAGAGCTTTTCTCAACATTATCAACATCAATATAACTTAAAAGTCAAGTTAATCCCTCTTGAACCATTCAAAACTCAAAGTGCAGTCAAATCATTCAACAAAGACTGCTGTTGAAAGAATCAAAGAACCCAAAAAAAAATATCAATATAGGCGGCAGATCCACCTCAACTATCACCTTTCCCGCCTTCAAAAAAAAACATTAAATTAAATCAACATTGTCAATTATACGCTTCCTTGAGAGGGCGTTGGTTGAATGACCTCCAGTTGTTTTCCTTTTCCTATTCACAGAAGGCAATAAATAATACAATATACTGAATCATTGAACGTGTTCAAGCATCATATTGGTTTTTTGACTTCCTAAAGCGACTCCAAGAAAGTGAGACAGCTTATCTACCAACAACAATAGGTTTATTAATTCAAATAAGTGCTTGTCAAAAATATACACGATAAGGAAGCTATATCCAAGCCGCAACGCCATAAAGGCTCAGTTTGGAAGGAGTATAAATACAAGTATGTACAGTACAAATACAAACAAAATGATACAAAATACATAGTTTTGCACTCTAGATATTTGTATTTGTACTCCTTCCAAATTGAGACAGTAACAGAGTGTCATACTTAAAGCGACCATCCAATAGCACATCATCAATCTGAGATTAAATTGGATAGATGTCACCTCATGCAATCAAAAGGGTCCAAACATGGACAGATAATTCTATAAACTCTAGATGTCAAAAGGTTTGGTAACCTAATACAGACCAAGTGTATCTTGAAGGCAAGATTCATCCTGTGTAGTGCAAATGCACCTAGTCTGGTAGTCACTTGTTTCTTTAAAATCAGGATAAATGAAGTAGAATCATAACAGGGATAGTACTAGGATTTACATGGAAAAAGAAAATAAGTACATCACCAGGGATATTAGCCCTCTGCTCCAAAAACAAAAGATCTCAACCAAATATCAGTGTTTTTCTGTTATTCTTACCTGTCCCCACACCAAAGGAAAAAAAAAAAGGAGGGAGAGGAGAAAAAGGCAAAAAAGGAGATAATACCATATAAGAAGCAAAACAGAACCTGCCAAGCAAAATACTATCATCAACAAAAAAGTATGTGAAACAAGTAACAACTCCATTGACCTAAATCTTGAACTTATCGAAAAACTAGATTTCACGATGTTATTTAGAACTTTCATGTCGACACATTCCCTATGTAGCATACAAAAGTAGCAGCAGAACTCTTTTTACATGTACCAACCCCTGTGCAAATAGCCTACTGCCACAAATTAGATGTAGAAATGTATACTGCACATTTAAGGTTTGATAATTCCCTGCCCGTGGTCAGCAGATTCTGATACAGGTTTGGAAGCTAGCTGCAAATACAAAGGAAAGAAATTAGTGGAGAAAAATTTGAACCCTAAAAAAAACAAAGAACAGCCAAGTTTTGATACATGCTGCAGCTACATTGTTACAAACAAGAAAAGCATGCAGAAAATGCCAAGGACCAGGGGGGGAAATGAAAATCATATTCGGAAACAATGGCTCAGCATGAGGGAAAAACTGGCATACATATTGCTGAAACACTGATAGGTAGAATGATAAAATCAAGACCTAGTCCCAACAAGGGTTCCAACAGCCATTGCAGCTGTACATTGGGAACATACACCATAGAGGACAAGAGAGATGTTCCCAATGGACAAACTGCAAAGGCTGTTGAGACCGGTTGTTGGGGCCTGATCTGAACTTGATAGAATCAGGATATCAGATATCTGAAGATAGAGGAAACAACAAGAGAGAGAGAGAGAGAGAGAATAATGAAAGTGGATGGCAAAATAACTGGCAGGCATAGCTGTTTTTTTTTTTGGCACATAACTGGTATTTTAAAAATAACTTAAATTTAATGTGGCTTTTGAAATATCTTGTTAGATGAAGTATATCCTAGAGTTGGATTCGAATGTCCATCATACAGGAAAAGTTACTACAGTTTCCTAGAGTAAGCTAGAATCATGCAGAGTAAGAGCCTGTCAGAACTCTAGTTTCTTTCACATATTGAAGGCAGTCTATGTAGGACCTTGAGTTTCCTATGGAACATGGTGATGGTTACCCCCTTAAAGAAGCTAAGAATTTGAGGACTAAGTCATTAAGCACTAAATGGTTTGAAGCTATATTGCAGGGTTTTAAGTTTGTAATCTCACAAGGGTGAACAGAAATTATCATTGAAGATTGCCAAGTCAAATTAAGCTGGTTGAGACAATAACAAATACCCAGGAGATACAAAACTTTGATCAAACAAAGCAGAATCAAGACAATCCAAATAGTTAATTCAGATGGTCTCCTCAGTCTGCAAATGCAATACACTAGCTAAGTCAAGGATTAACAGGGATTCTTTAGTGCGGGGAATACCAACCAGGAACCAGATTTTTGCTGAAATGTCCTAAGATAAGATGTGACTGTTCTGTCATATACCAGAAAGGCTTTGACCAATCAAAACCCTCCATGAATTTTGATGAAAACCCACCTGATTGGTTAGAACTTATATGATGCTGATCAGAGTTTTAAAAGCACAAGGCGCAAAAAAAGCGCAAGGGCCAATTTGCACCCAAGGTGCAAGGCGCAAGGCGAGGTGCGCGCCTTTTTAAGAAAGGTGCAGAATTACAAAAAAGAAGCTAAAAAATAAAAAGTCAGAAATTTCCAAAAAAATGCCAAAAAATTTTAGGAAAATGCAAAACGTTTTAAAAATATTAAACATAATGTTAATAAAAATATAAACTTAAATTTTAAAATAAATGATTTAAAAAACCTATTATCTAAAATTATAATACATAAGCATAACATGTAAAGTGTATTCAAATGAAAATTTAAAAATAAAAGCAAACATATAAAGCATTTTCAAGCATGTTAAAACCCACAATCTCTTTTTATCCCTAAATCGCATTGCTTCAAGTAGTTAATGTGATGTAAAACATATTGCATTCTTGATTCTATGAGTTGCCTTTGTAGCACACCCCTCGAGGCAAACCCGAACAAGTCTATGTTAGGGTCGGTCTGAAATTTTTATTTCTCACATAAAAATAATGATTTTACAACTTTCATTGCCTTTAAGAAGATATTTTATTGCAATGAATGAATGAACAACATAAGAAAATAGGGGGTTCTCGGAGCTTCGGCTGGGCTGGGCTGAGGTGCACGCCTAGGCGCACCAGGTGCATGCCTTTTGAAAGAGGTGTGCCTAGGACCTGGGCGAGGCGCATACCCCAAAATGCGCCTACGCCTTTTAAATCACTGATGCTGATTGATTGGTTGTAAGTTTTTCTGGTATCATGTCTTTATGGCATCATAGTCAAACTCAGAAAAAAGTTTTCCAGTCTATGCTGCCGGAAAGACATAGTACTATGACAAGAAAAAAAAAAACAGCTTGTTGTTTCTTTTCCAGACAGTTGATCAAAACCTTTTTAAACCAACAAGAAGGTGTTAAATACACCAACTAATTATTGACCCAACTATTTATCAAAAAAAAAATTTATTGACTCAACTGCCTACATTAATATCTCAGCAAATCCATTTATACATAGTAACAAGTTAAAGCCCTGACAGAGACTATATTAAATTAAATGCATTTTTCAGGTGAAAAATGGTGAGGACAGAAGAGCTAGTATCCGTCATGTAACAAATATACTCCAAACAAATAAAACAAGATTACCTTGCACTGAAGACTTGTTATCGTAGACCTCAGCAGTGTGTCCCCAACTATCAATCTCAACTTTTTAACAAAATCATCCCGACTAATCTTCTTTTGCTGATAAAACATATAAAAAAAGGATAAAAATTAGGAAAATCAGAAAAACATTAGAGCTAAAAAACTGGGAACAGGATAAATCTTTTTTCCTTTCTTTTGTTTTTGTTTTTGGTAGGCAGGGGAAGGACCAATCTACATCTTTACAGAACATACCCTGAATTGATCATAATGCTTGTTAACTAATGCCATATCTTTAGGAGGCACTTTACTGGAAATAGCCTCAAACAACAAAGGGAAAGGCATCCATGGTGATCGAGGAGTCTTTGCAACACATGGACCAAGCGCAGACGCTTTCCCATGAGATTGATTCACCAAATCTGGAAGCATATTACATGGCCCAACCTGAGTAGCAGGTGAATGTTACAAATAAATTTGAAAAAAAAAATCTCACAATACAACATTAATAAGCTTGAAAGACAGGACAAAGATCACATCCCTGTTACATTAGCTAAGATACATGAAAAAGTTGGAAAGCAGGGGAGCTTTGTACACAAGCAATCATAGGCATTGTCATACATCAGTGGTTTCAATAACAACCAACAATAAGGTTGTCACTATCAAACAATCCTACCCACAAACTAATGCAAACTATGTGAGATTGAATGACAGGAATCTTGGTCAGTTTCAGTCAGTAGACTGACTGGTGAACCACAAAAACCCCAAGATGTGGGCCCTATTTGCTCAACAGAAAGGTAACCTTTGGCCCAGAATATGAAAATTATGGTAAGATCGGATGCATAGAATCATAGACCAGGGTAATCCTTGCACCACAATATCTCTGCTAATGTACACATTGTGTGCTGAATAATAAAAGAGAATGACCGCCTCCAACATCATAGATTTTAGTAATACATTCCCATCTACATAACCACATATACTCAAAACACACATACACACACACAAGAGAGAGATAAGAGAGAAGAGAGAGAGAGAGAGAGAGAAAAGTAATGTTTTTTATCCACATGAAAACAACTCTGGTCTGCACAGGATACTGACTAGCAAGGGGATGATCGGTAGAGCCAATTTGGCCCAAGGATCCATGGTATTTAATAATTATCCCATTTTGCAATTAGCCTTAGCAAAGCCCAGACATAAAATGATAAAACAGACAAACTATATCATAGATACAGTCTATTGGCATGAATGCATAAATACATACAAATAAAAAAATAAACATGAATATATACATAAAGACAGAAAGAAGCTTACAGAATCAATAGGAGAGGAATCCAGTTGTGGTTGAACTTGACAAGTAGAATTCGTTATACCAGACACATCAAACTTGCTTTCATTTCCAAATGCATGCCCTGTGAGAACATTAATTAAAACATACTAGCAACTAAATCTTACACAATAGAACCAATTAATCACTAAAACCAAACGAGAAAAGAAATGATAGCAATTCTACAATGTTTACAGTACACATGGTCCACCAACTCATCAATCCAAACAGTTCAACAAGTACATCATCTCTTGAAAAAAGCATAGCCCACATATAAGACCAACAAACTACACAAATAGGTGAAATTTGTGCATCTTCTCTCTAAAAAAGAAAAAAGAAATTAGCAATGAAGTATTTCTCATGCTCGTCTGGATCCTTTCCTCCCAACTAATTAACTTGCTTTTTTTCCTTACAAACTCTGACAAAGAAATTATATTAATTGATTTGTCCCCAGCCAAGCTGGGGAAAAATGATCAACTTTTGAAGAACATACTCTTCCAACAATAAAAAATGAGTTGGTAGGTCATTTGTAAGCCAATATGATACAGTTTCTTGAATTTCAAAAAGAGCTTCAATTTCAGAAAACATATTCCATTATGAAACATATTAAATATATGGGAAAAAGAATCACCTTTTGCACTAGGAGGCACCCTGAAACTTATAACACATTCCGGATAAATGTGGGTGTTCACATTCATGTTCCACACAACATAATAACTTGGATTCTGGAAATCATCTATACCACTATCGAAGTTTTCACTACTAGGATAGAATTGCTCAGATCCGGGATGAATTAGTTCCATGTTTCCCATAATAACACGACACAACACCATATGCCGTATTCCATTTTCGTCAACATCACAATAATTTGCACTGTAAGGTAAACAAAATGTTAATCCTTATCAACAAGCAGATTACCAGGAAAAAGACAAGTAAGATATAGAATGGTGATTAAAAACAAAAAAGTAACTAATCAAAGAAAATCATTAGTCATCTTCTTAAAGCCAAATCTATTTACAACTTTGTCAAACATATTAACATGATATATTACACCCCCCAACCCACAAAAAAATCCCTAGCCTGGGTCCACAACAGATAACCCATAGGTCAAAAGGGAATACAACAACAAAATCCACCGTAGCATTCCTCATTATGGAAATTATCCCGAAAACAGAAGGCTGTTAATGCCCAAATATATTGAAATATCATGTAATTGTACCCTTAAAATTCTACTTGAAATCTTGAAAGGTTACCTAATTTTCAGTTTTCCAATAATAGTGCATATTAATATTATAATAGACATTTGCAAGCACAAATATAATTATAGCCATAAAACCAAGTATCACCTGATATGGGAACAGTTTGATGGTGTGAGATGAACACCAACTCCATATGAAGGATTAGGCTTAGGCAGTCCATTGATCCCAATTCCATGCACCAAGATCTTAGATACCACTTCTCTAGAGCAGCCAAGCCAAGCATATCGAACATTTGTATCACTTCGATACCTTTTCGTTATTTCCACTTGCTTTAGGAAAAGCTCAAACCGAGCTTCTGACAAATTACTTGAGCCACGATAAATATCAACTATGTCATTGGCCCCAACTAATGAACAAATCCTACCTGTAAGAAACATGTGCTGCACAGCATCATGTGTCAGCTTTTCACCCACGGATTCACATATATGATGTTGAGAAAGAAAAGTTTCATTTGTTTGTTGATTTTCTCCAATACACTCAACTTTTTCATCTGATTTTGCATTACTACCGTGTTGTTCCAGCTCAAAATGCTTGAAAGCAGATATCTCAATTTTACGCCGCTTCACACAAGTATTTGATTCTTCACTGACTTCATCTAGACTTGAACTTTCAGCCCCATTTATTTCTATTTCCAATTGCAACTTGATTTCACGGGTACCATTGGGCTCCAGATACAGAAGTATTTGATCATTCCCCAAATCAGGTTTAAAACATTCATATAACTCCTCATCCTCAGAAAAACGTTCAGGAAAGAAACAGCCCCCTACTTCATCAATCCATGCAATTGGCCTTCGAGCGCCTGTTCTGAGATCAACCTCAATCATGTGACAAAAATCCAAAAGTGAATGACGGCCATTGAACTCTACTTCAATAGCAACTTTCTTTACCTGGAAATCTGCCCTAACCAACCCAAGAAACTCATTTGAAAAATCAATCCACTCATCATTCTGATAAAACATTATGCGTTTTGGTGATTTACTCTTCATAAAATTCGAGTAGTTCCTCAGTAAAGATTTCTTGAAAGACCTGCATTGGTTCTTGCTTTTGCCTCCATTTAATCCTGCCCGCTTGGCAAGCTTGTTAGATGGCGATCCAAAGGTTCTCACTTGAGCAGCTCCAGTAAAGTGTGCTGCTGCACACCGGGATGCCCACTTTCTCTTGAGATCAACTATAATTTTACGCCCATTATCCAACTCCTTTGCGTTCTTTGCTTCCATTGTTATCTACAATATCAATCCTTAACCACGGATTTGACTCCAAAAGTTTAAATGGTACAACAGTTTACAACACCCTTATTTCTTTTGTGCACTTCAAAGAGACCATGCCAGGGAAGATAACAAGCAGGTTCTGGAAAAGTGGTGGCAATCAGATAAGACCTCTAATCCTCTATATACATTTCCTTATATAAAGCATCTTAAAACAATAACCAGTAGAACAGGAAGTTAAAATCAAACAAGAATCAGCCTTGCGAAAACCTAAACCAAGACAAAATGCAGGGTGATCATGTTAAGACACAAGGAATATATGCAATAGCTAGTGCCCTGATATAGTATCAGATTAGCAGCACTGTGGTATATATATATAGCAGAATCATTATTTCACAAGGTAAGTTCAATATCAAATCAAAATGTAGACAATGTCATCAAGGCAATGAAACAATGATTAGTTGTCTTGGCCTCTATTGTTGATACAATGGCTTTTCAGTGCCTAACCATTGTTGATCGACAAAAATTCAGATATTTAATATACTGATGCAATTAATATGGACTGCAAAAATGAAACAAAAGAATGGTATAGAACATTTAATATACACCCTTTGTTTTTCAAATAAAGAGTCACATCAACCTTGACTATTTGATGTACCCTTGTCTGTGGCAACTCCATATCAGCACATATTTCACTAGAAGAAAACTTGAAAGAAAAACTATAATATGTTATTTTAGTAATAAAGATAAACAAAGAAAAAAACAGGTTTAGACTAGCTTTGTGGTTGCCTAAGTTGACTAGTTGTTCAGCACATATTTCACTAGAAGAAAACTTGAAAGAAAAACTATAATATGTTATTTTAGTAATAAAGATAAACAAAGAAAAAACAGGTTTAGACTAGCTTTGTGGTTGCCTAAGTTGACTAGTTGTTAATAGACTAGTCAACCTAGTAAATACTTAGTTGCCCCAGCTTCCCAGGTGACTGCATCATGAGTATTGAACAACTAGTCAGTGGCACAGTCAATCACGCCCTCAACCAACTCAGCAGCCGATTAATTAACATTTTGATAATACTGCATGTAAATCCAATCATATATATTAAGATTTTCATGTCTTCAAAGAAATTTATCAAAAAGAAAACACTTTTTTCTGTGTCCTTTGAGTGAGTGTTCATTCACATTTATCCCTATGCAACATATTTATCCACAATAATCATATAAATGTAGCTCTTCAGACAAATTAACGATAACATCCTATGCAACCTATTTATCCCTTGTATTTTCCCTAAAAGAAAAAGCAAGCCTAAAGCAATAATTAAGGAAATTAAAAGATCAGCAAAATCCACACCTCCTTTAATACATATATGAACTCTCATCCAAAGCATGCAATCAATCAATATACCTAAAAATCCATATCCATTTTGCCCTCCACTGATGTAGAACAACAAAGAAACCGTTGAAACCACTTTCCAGTTAGAAATGGAAAAGATATCAAGAATTTTATGAAGTAGGATTCACAGACTTAAAATCCCCAAATCCCTTCAGTCAGTTCAATAAAAGTACAAAAAAAAAATTAAGTGGAAAATCAGAAAAAAACTTTACAGAAAATATGAAGCATTTTATATGATACACAACCAAATGCTAGTCAATTTACGCAAATAGCAAGAAGTGTGCAAATAATAAGATTCACCTAAAAAACACATATTAAACACAAGAAATAGAAAATACTTTCACTCCCACCACTTCGAGACCATATTAAATACAGATTTTCACACATGTGTCTTCATCCATATGTCAAGTGCGAAACATCATTTTTCATACAAAAAAACTCCATGTAAAATGTTCCCCCACAATATTCATATTCATACACAGGCAGTTCTTCAAATAAACAAACAAGAGTCACATGCAACATAGTTTTCCCTCAAGCATAATCTCCCCTAAAAAATGAATTCATCCATTTTGTCCTCCATTGTTTTAGAATGAAAGAAAAGCCACAACTATATTACTTAGAAAATAAAGAAGATATAATGATTTTTCTCACATTCCAGTCAAAAACCATAAATCGCTTCAGTATCTTCAAATAAGGCATAAAGAGAAGCTTTGAAATACACTTTAAAAATAAAAAACCTTTAAAGAACTTTGGGGAGAAAAGGAAAATGAAACATTTAATAAAACACAAAACTAATTCCTAGTCAATTCATCTTAATAGCATCATTAGAATGAATTGAATGATTCATAAAATTCACATATAGAATAACAAATTAATGAGAATTTATCAAAATCTAGTCCATTCTTTCCAGAAAAAGGATTTAAAGTAAGACACTAACTGAAACCCTTGCTATTCACATAAAAATTAATAAATCCTGTAGTAAATTGTAAGGTTAACAACATGGTATCTCCTTAAGATGAAAGCTCTAAAAGCCAATAATATAAAGCCTCGCCTAACTACCACGCAAATCCCCTTTCGCCATTACACTTTATCAAGGGTCATACCATGGTCAAATTGTTAACAATAATATATGGCACAGTTGAATAAGGTGTAGGATGTGAAATTTATGCTAAAAAATGAAGTATATGACATGATACCACACCCTTGTACAGGAGCTTAACTTTGCTCCTTCAATTAAGGAAATGCTTGTGTCCTTCCAAGCATTCCACTGATGGATGCATAATCAGGTTGAACATCAGCCTGAATAAATACATAAATAAATAAATAAATAAAAGGCTTAATACAATATTGATTACATGTCCATCACTGGGATGCTCAGAAGGACATGCAACCTTACGTCCTTCATTCAAGGAATGAAAACTTTTCCCTTGTACAACAATTCAGGTATTATAGCTAACAAATTATTTCTAACTTGATCTTTCTTTTTTGATAAGAATAACTAACTTGATTCTTCTTTACCTGATTCAAAAAAAAAAAAAAAGAATAACTAACTTGATTCATGTCCTATCTGGCAATTCATTTACTAATTGTTCCAAAAACAATGATTTCTAATTGTGTATTCCATACTAATTTTAAGTATGGCAGTACCACAGTAGTACAATCCAGCGTGTTCTACAATACCTTCATATGTCTCACACTGCTGTAATTCTACCACTTTTATGTTTTGTTACATAAGTAATGTTTTTGATCTGCATGTACAGAAATATCATTGAAACAAAAAATGCATCAATAATCCAAGTGTAGAAGTCTCTTCCCTTCAATTTTTTATCTTTAACCTCATTGTTTTGAGTTTTGTGGCTAGGAATGACCACTTCTTTGTCAATTTGCCTGTATGTCATTTTTCTCTTTCTAAAACACTTGCAAACTTACAAATAGCTTAACTTTATCCACTGCAAATTTTCAAGAAAGTTATGGGTGAAATCTTTGGGTCTCTTGAGGTTCAGCTATGCTTCTAAAAGGACCTGAAGGCTCTATGGGGTTGGCACTTGGCAACAGAGAGGTCTGTCCAGAAGGGGGAAATCATATGGGGAGTGGTGCCACCAGCAGTAATTTGGTCAATCTGGACAGAGAGAAATGGGAGGCTTTTTGAGAATAAATATATATATATATATATGAAATACTGGAATAAATCATTTTACATTATTTATGAGAAGAGAATATTTATTTAGGTGCTAATAAAAGCTAACTACATGTTTCATGTTTACATATTAACTGCTACTCTGCTACTGCTAGCAGTCAAAAGAATATGTACAGTGTTATTTGCAATATAAAAAAGCATCAACACGAAACTTGAGGTTATATATATGATATTTGGAATTTTCTAACTCCAAGTAGTTTTCATATTCCCATTTGACAATAAGGCTCAGTTTGGAAAGAGTACAAATACAACTATGTACAGTGCAAATACATACAAGAAGAAAGTTCACATATGAGTAGGAAAGAAAAATGCTACATGATAAATACAAAATGGCATCTAGTAAAAATGAAAATAGTTTTTCTATAAATAGTAAAAAGAAATATAGTTAAGAAAGTAGCATACATACTCCAGCAACAAATATTTTTGGACGTTAACCAAGAGGGTTAGAATTTAATACTAGGACAAAAGGTAAATAAAGGTTGTAATATGTATTGAGAAAGATACAATATCACATGATAAACACAAAGTATCATCTAGTAAGAAATGAAGCTAGTTCCAAAATCAATAAAAATTACCGTGCATGAGTCATGTTGACAAAGAGGGAAAAATAAATATGTTGTAATAAGCTTCAAATTCACACACACAAACAAAACAAAAAAAAAGGAGAAAGAAAGAAAGGAAAAAATAGAAACATATCACCAGGGAAGGGATTCCCACATTCATGGGAGTACGTATACAAGGTCCAAACTTGTTATCAGTTACAAGTGACCTCACCCAACTACAACCAAGTTAGCTTCTAAAAATTGTATCGGATGTTGCACATGTTACTGAATGACTTGAACCTTGTTCTCGTGTTCCCAGTGACTCTGAGCAGGACTTGCATGTAATTTGAACAGACATTTCAACCAAAAAATACTCGAATAATTGTTCAACCGTATTCACTTTACAAGATAGATACACAAAAATCACACGTCGTCCATCATTGCAGAGTCTTAACAAAAACTCGTTCATAAAGTATAAGAACATACCGAATTCTGCTATTAGTGGCCATTCTGTACAAGTATTCTGTTCCCAGGCGTCAATAAAAGTCACCAAGGATAAAGCATCCTCTTTTATCCTATATACCCGATTAGTTTTGTTCCTAAACAGAATTCAGAACAAAGCGAAAACCTCTACGAATAAATAAAATAAGGATTGTTCAGGATAAGAGTGCAGATTACTATCAAAAAAGAATAATGATAAATAATTAAATAGAAAAAAAACTATGACCCTACTCTTTGGTCTCAGAAAAATCCAGCCTTTTCAGGAAAAAAAAAATAACTATCTAAAAATAACTATATTAATCCGACCACCAGAAACTATATATACAAATTATCTTAACTATTCAGTCCATAATACAGACTATCTTCCTGATAGAAACACGATTAAACTAAAAGGGAACTTCATCCGATCCCAGTAACCAATATTTATATAAAAATAAGGGGAAAAACAAAAATTAAGTAAACTTCTGAAAATTTAAATGTAAGACAAAAGGAAACTAATCAGATCGGATAGGAAACTCGTGTAGGATAACACAAAACAAAAAAGAAGGTAGAAAACTAAACTGGCATTCGATCAATTTTAGAAATACAAACTGAAACGAAAATAATAACACTGATCCAAATAAAAAGTGCAAAAAGTATTTGAGAAAAAATGTGAAGTCAAATTCAAAAGATGAAAGGAAAAATATATGAAATCCAGGCCCGATAATCAGAAAAAAAGGGGCAAAAACGCTTAAAATTCTCAGAGTAAAGTAAGATTTCCGATTAAAAATTTACTAAAAGCCCATATAATCTCACCTGTTAGCACATTAAAACTGGTATTCGATGATTTTCATGAGAAGGGGGGGAATCGGGCTCGTCCAAAACTCTGAAACCCTCTCTCTCGCGAAAACGAAAACAGTGAATGGGGTTGACGCCGTTAATAGCCGAAGGTGCTAACGGCTCTCGTAAGTCGGCAGGCGAGGCGTGGACCACGCGTCATTTCTTGCGGCAAAAGAAAGAAAGAGCACAGGCAGCCGCCTCATCGTGTTGATCGGAGAAGAATCCGACGGCTAGGATTCGTTCGAGCCGCAATAAGTGATATTACTGTGTATATTCTAGGGTTTCAAATTCTTTTTCCGTTTTCTTTCTGTCAAATACCACGTGGCAATGCATGGTTCGTCTTAAAGGTAATGATCTGATGACGACATGATGATACGGGATACCTGATAAGCTTGAAAACAAAAAAATGGGGTAATAGTATATAAGGGCAACTTTTGCGGTTCAATATCAATAAAATTAATATATTTAAAAAAGTTTAAAAAATAGGATTAACTTTTTAAAAATAATATCAATAAAGGACAAAAATATTATTCATCTTCTTCTTTTTGTCATTTGTTCATCAGACGCCCGCCATTGCCATCTGCTGCCGTCCACCTCCGCCTCCGCCTTCGACAATGTTGTCGGAGGTGGCGGGAGGCAGAAGTGGAGGCGGCAACGCTGGTAGTCATTCCTCTGCTCGCCGCCACCGCCACCTCTATCTCTACCCATCTCCGACAACGTTGTCGAAGGCGGAGGTGGAGGCGGAGGTGGTGGTATTGGACAGATAAACCACCACTGCCACCTCTGACAACGTTGCCAGAGGTGGAGGTGGGTGGAGGTAGCGAAGGGCAATAGTGGACGGCAGTGGTGGGTGGTGGCAGGCAGCGGCGGACGGTGGTTTTGATGAACAAATGGCAAGAAGAAGAAGATGAACAATATTTTTGCCCTTTATTGATATTTTTTAAAAAAAATTAACTTATTTTTAATTTTTTTTAAATATATTACCTTTATTGATATTAAATCCCAAAAGTTACCCTTATATGCTAAGTAGTGAGTTGACTGTAACTAACACTACCACTTCATCCAAAAGTCGTCAAATTAAAATGTAAGGCTGAAAAAAAAAATAATTAAAAGGCAAGGCTTTGTTTGTTTGGGGGGTGTAAATACCGGATCGGTATAATTAAAACACCTTGTATGGAGTATAATTAAACATGGAAAAATCAATGTAAAATTCTACTCATATCGAATTTTACATTGATAATTTTGATAAAAATGATGTAAATATTTATATCAATAATCCCATTTTCTATTTACAACGATCCATAACTTTAAATCGATCAGTGTACAATTCCATTGGTGTAATTGTTCTTTTACACCGAATTCAAACGCAGCCCAAAATACCTAAAGAGATATGATTTCAATTTTTTATGCTAATTAGAATTTAGAAATGGTTAAAACTTTCTTTTTATATTAAATTTCTTAAAACTTTAAAGCTTTTCCCATTATGACCTACATTCAATAAAAACCCCGTTTTTATTTTTATAATATTTTATAATCTTATACCATATTTTTTTTAATAAATCTTATATCATATCTGTATTTATCTATTTCTATACCATATAATGCCAATACTTGCCTCTAGCACTGTATTTATATCAACCTCAACTCTCACCAAACCCCTATATTATGTAGGCTAGGCTTGGGCCAACCAAGCCCTAGGCCCACCTAACCTAGCCCAAAAGGTATGTATATATATATATATATATATATATATATATATACTATCCATAAAAGAGCGAATTCCCTTTTTTCTGGAATTTTCATTGGACGTTTTCTATCCCTATAGTTTAAGCACACAGCGGGTATAAAGAGGGCATATATGTCCGTTACTCTCACTTCAGAAATTGCCCACTCTAACTACTCATAAGTTACAACCACATTTGAATGTGTGTGCATGTGTGCTATAATATTTTATATGAGAAACTTTGGTTGTTGGATACTAATAGCTTCGGCTATTGGATGCCATATTGGGCATGACATGTTATCATGGGTATAAAATAGTGTTTTTCTACCCGTCCCCTTAGGCATTTCGGATCTACTCTTCATAGATTGTTCCTCACAGCACATTTCAGCCATGCATTGGGAACATCTCTCCATCTCTATGAATAACAAGATACAAATACGGATATATTCACGAACAGATGTTCAATTGCAATGTGGTATGAACTTGGTATGAGGAGTGGATCTGGTCTCCTCTATGTAGGTACTTCTCCAATTATCAATCATAGCCCTTCCTCTAGCACGAATGCAAAAATTACGGAATGCAAGCTTGAAGTTTGGAATAGACCGCACTTAACAACAAGGATACCAATAGCCAAAATAGTTTTTAGGTTACTTGGTTCTTAAAAATGTTGACTCAAGCCCAACTTGTGTACATGTTTAAATCGATGTTAAACCCATAACATTTATTTTTAAACTTATTTTGATATAAAAAATCTTTAAGAGATAACCTACATTTTTTTTATTTTTTTAGTTAAGTTGAAGAATTTAGCTAAATTGTTGGATAACTTGACACATGACCCAACGAAGAAGAAGGTGGGTTTATGCTCATATCTAACAACATTGTGTATGACTAATTAATTTGTGGGTTGGTGTAACCTGACCAAGTCTTTAGGTTCATTTATAATCCTTAGGCACCACACTCCTAAAGAGACCTTCCAATAAGACAGAATAATGAAGAGACCTTTTGAATAATAAGTAGGAATAATGTACTATCAAGTCATGCATCTTTTTTTTTTTTTTCTAGAGAATCTCAAAAGGCAATGTGAAGAGTGAGTGCATTTTGAAACCAATCACCAAGCACAAAAATAGGACAGAATCCGTATCATAGATCACAATTCAACTTTCCATAGCTTTCTATTTTTCTCATATTTTCTATCGAATCAAATATGGTCTTAGGAGTGATCATTTCTAATCCCACCATGGGATGGGATGTTTATAAAATATAATACATACACGCGCACACACACATATATATATATATATAATACCTAACTACTGTAAAATGGATATTTATCTTGGTTTTGACACAAATCATAAAAGTTAATTTTTCTCCAAGGAAAATAAGGCTCCTAGCTATATAGGATGCACAACCTCAATTCATTCATAAACTACTCAATACATTGTGTAATAAAGTTTGAGACAAGAACTGTGCGTTTAGACCCTAGGTGCACATTCTAGGTATACAAAGCGCTTTCTTGGATAGAACATGAACAAATTTTTTGCACTCCCTAGGGACACAATGGAGTAAGCGGTGAGGGAGAGCAACAATTAGGAGCTTCCGATCTACACAATAAGAGTACTTACGGATCAACGAGGAGCAAAATTTGCCTCCAACAAACTCTTGATAACAACATGAGAGTCTCCTTCAATAATAACAGAACTACAGAAGTAATCATCCCAACTTTCAACACAAATTGAAGGCTAGATAGAGCTATAGTTGCTTCCACTTTGTTCATAAAACATGGAGGGGAATCACTAGGGGTGCAAGTCGGGCAAGTTGGGCTGAGTTTATGGTCAACCTAGGCCTGACTCTAAAATTTGGGCTCAAGGCCCGAGCCCGAGGTCAAACCCGATTTTCCCAACCCAAGCCCAGTCTACCCTGTAATTTGATGCACTCAGGTTGGGCTCGGGCCCGGGCCGGGCTCGGGTTGGTCAATGAACCCACTCTAAAATTATAGATATACAAATGCACTTATGCATATATATATATATATATATATATATATATATATATATATATATATATATATATATATATATATATGTAAATATGTATGCAAAATATCTATACAAATGTTATATATACAAATATGTATATATATGTATAAATGTATATAATTGGGCCAGGCTCGGGCCAGGTTCAAACTACCTAAGGGCTAGGCCTGAGCCCAAACCAAAAAATAAAAAAACTGACTTCTTGGGCCCAAGTCCAGCCCATGTAAAATTCCGGTTGGGCCAATTCGGGCTCGGGCTGGGCCCGCCCAAGTTGCACCCGTAGGAATCACACATCAAGGCTGGTGCCTCTCCAAATGGAAGCTATGGGTCCATCCGTATACCGATTAACTGATCATCCATTGCCAATTACCCATCTATGAGAGTAGTTGTGGCATTTAAGCATGCTTGACCTAGTAATGGATTGGTGAGCTTTTGGCTTTAAGTATCCAGAAATTATCATAAGCATGCAGATCGATATTTAGAGGAGAGTACTTTGACCCTAAATTGTCCATGCATAATTTAAACAATAAAGCCCCATTTAGGCTGTGTTTGGAAATGATGCAAATGGAATGTAAATCCAGGGTAAATTTGCACTCTAGTTCATTTGTACCTGTGTTTGGCAACATTACATTTATGCATTGACAAATGACAGACCAATGCATATTTACATTGACAATAAGATGTAAAAGTACATCAATAAAAAAGAAGTAAATGTGTATTCAATTGGGCATTTGATAAAAAAAGAAACATATGTTTTATTGGAATTCATATTTGCATCTATTACAGCTGAAAGTCTGTTTGATAAGAAGATAAATTTGTCAGTGCAAAACTAACCCAATTTTATAATTTATATGAGCCGTTTTACACTCTATATATTTGCATTCACACTTATTTGCATCGTTTCCAAACGCAGCCTTAATAATTGTAAGTCCTTGAATGAAAACCACCTAGACACTTGGATGAATAAAAAGTAGCCCAACTCTTTAAGTATAGTGCCAATTTATATCTTTATCATTTACTTGCACATATGCATAGCAATGTGCTCTTACACTAGTATATAATATGTGAATTCTTCTATAAAAGTTCTAGTTCAATGGTTTGATTATCAAAACTTAAAAAAAATGAAAAAAAAAACATGACTTGAATTTCCATTGCTTTGAAAAAAAAATAGGGTCAATACAAGGAGGTAGGAATAGATTAAACTTCATCCATGTAATATTCCCAAGTACTTTTTAATGGACATCTAAGGTGGAGGAGGTGGGAACAAATTGGTAGAAACAAACAATAGACATTAAAAGGTAGAAAAACAAAATAATAATCAGCAACAGAATTTGTAATCAATAATATTAAAAACTAAAAAATAAGCAAGAGATGGAAAAAATACAAGATGGACAAGGTAAAATTACTTATTATAGTTGGAGAGAATAAACAAAAGAGCATCAAGTTTCTTCACTTGAGCATTTAATGCAAAAGAATAGAACTCTCCCCTTCTGTTTTGAGCTTGAAATGTTCAAAACATTAAGTAGATATAAATATGTAGTTTGTTTTTTAGTTGATTTAAAAAAAGCTTAAAGATTAGTAAGATCTTGTAGCAGTTTTGGGTTTTCTAATTTGTGTTGTTTTAGGCTAAGGATGAATATTATGATGAAAAGAATAAAGCTCCAAGGGGTGTCTATGCGAAAAATACCAACTAGTTAGTTGGTAAGGTCTCCATTTGGTTGTAGCGGAGACTTGGGATTGAATCCCAATTGCACCAGGGTTGGGGGGATGGGCTACTCCCTGTCATGTAGCCTCTGATAGAGCCAAAATAAAGGGGCATCCATGGCAGTTCATGTTTCACCACAGTGAAACCGGTGACCAAAATATAGTTCAGTCCACCCCTAGGGTGGAGCTAAGATTTTTAGGGGTGGACTGAATCCTGCCCGTGGATTAATGCCAAATTCATAAACAGGATGCAGTTTATAGGGGGGTTACTAGTAGACTAGAAGGGGGCTGCAATTTCAGATTTCTGAGGTGGATTGCAGTCCACTTATCCCAAATATATATAGAAAAATAAGAATTCATATGCCACTGGTGCAAATATTGAAACACAAAAGTCCATTTTTTCGAATACTAGGAATTTGGATGTTCTCAAATCTCAAATACACAAAAACTTCATTTTTTTTGGAATACTAGGAATTCAAATGTTCTCATTTCTCAATTCTCAACCACCAAATAGTTTCAATTAATACAAAAATATGATGTCATGGATGATCCAATATGTACTCAAATTTTAGATGAAACATTCATTTTTTGCACCTAATGCCCGCATGGCAAGCTACTTGACCCACAATCAACATAACTAGTATCACAAGGCAAATTACACAGCATTATAAATAAACATATGATCTTTTCAAAAATGAAACCTTGTGTGGAACACCCTCTTTTGGGCTATATCCATCTATGTCTATATTATAAATGGGATACTTACTTTGGGTTCCATACATATTGTAAACGTTAAATCAAAATACCATATATTGTTCATGTGCATAATATATACTTATTACACTAGTAATTTATCAAGCGAATACTTGTCTTAAGTTTTGTGCATATCATAAAAATTAAATATAAACACAATATATCATATATGATTAATTCTTATTTACACATAAGCTCTTCCACTAATACTAAAAACCTATCAACAGATATAACATCAAATAGGCTTCACTTTTGAAAAAAAAGATAGCTTTAACTTTTGAAAAAAGTGAGGTCCAAATTTTCAACCATACCACAATGTATTAACCACCACCTCAACAAGATAAAAATTGAATACTCTCAAAAAGGAGGGCTTGCCCTACCTGTTTTTATAGGTCAGTGTTGGTATATTTGATCATAAAAATAACGGATCACCATTGTTCAAATGGGGTTTGTTTCTTGATCGTGAAGAAAGTAGGGAAATTGCAATTTTACAATTGAATAGGGAAATTACAATTCATCAACCAAATAAATCAGTTGATAGACATTAAGTCAGTGTTGGCCTGTTGGTTGGGTTGAAGGAACCCATTTTTCTTTACTATATGTCATTTCTCTTGTGGTGTCGACATCAGATTTCTCCTTTTTGATATCTCAAGATATTTCAATGTCAAATTGGGTTTAAATAAAGTCATTAAAATGAAAACGAGTTTGATGGAGAAAATAGGGTATATTGATTAATTGTCTTTTTTGTTAGTTCTTTTTAAATAGGATAAATTTCTGAAACCTCTCCTGAAGTTTGGTAATTGTAATCGCCTCCTCTAAACTTTCTGACATCGTTACAAATAGACCCCCTATGTAGAATCTTCTAAAAAAAGGCATGAAATTTTCCAAAATACTCATGTAGTTACTTTTAACAAAAATGTTTATTTTTCAAATTTTCTCTTCATATGAATCACTACCCCAAACCCTTTCGGTCTCTTTTCTGAAATTGATTTATTTTTCAAATTTTTCCCTTCTTATCAATCACTCCAAAGTAAAGTTGTAACTTTAAATTCTCTTTGCTTTTATTATTCATAAAGTTTATATTGTTTTTTTCCATAGAAACCAGCCTCAATAGTAACTACATGGGTATTTTGGAAATTTTCATGCCTTCTTTTTAGAAGATTCTACTAAAGCGAGTCTACTTGCTGCATTAAAAAATCAGGGAAAATAATTGCAATTACTAAACTTCAGGAGAGGTTTCAATAATTTACCCTTTAAATATGAAGACTTTTGTTGTGGGGCTGGATTATGTATATTAATGTCACAAGACATTATAAAAGGGGCATGCCTTGGCCCTTGAGTCAACAATCAAACTATTGAATTTATGGCTGATTCATACCAAAAAAATCTATAGCTGATTTTTTTTTTTTGTGGACATTCTGTAATGGGTTGACGAGATCATTGCTATTGTTTTGTCTTTTATTGGAGCCCATATATTTTTCTTAAATGGCCCAGTTCAAACATGGAAAAATGCAGTATTTTTATGCAATATTTTTGGGCTTCAAGGTGAGAAAGTGAGTTTTGCACATGATTCCTTTGTAGGAATCTCTTGAAAAAAAAAATCTTTGTAGGAATATTTTGAAGGGGTTTTTGGTATAGTTATTAGTAATAGGTGGTCTTTTGGAAGCTTTAATAGGGTTTAGAGGGTGAGGGTTAACAAGGCTGGAGAATGGTAATGGTAGAAATACATGACAAAATTTACTATTGCTCTCTTTGGAAAGAGTACAAATGCTAATATGTACCATACAAATACATACAAAAATAATGTAAAATATAGGTTTTGCACTCTACATATTTACATATTTGTATTTGTATTCCTTCCATTCTGAGCCTACATAGAAAATATTAACTTATTTCAAGAGGAGTCCCTAATTGATAATACATATCTCTTTTTCAGATTTTAAAACTAATTAAGCTCAAACATCAAACAAAATGTTTCAACTGATGACAAATATAAGCTTGAGTAGAGGTATTTGCCTCTTAAACTTACTTAGTCAATGACCTGGTGGTCCATTTGGTTGAACCATCAAACCTTTAGACCCAATCAATAGGTCATAGATTAAACATTAAATCTCTTTTTTTTTGTTTAATATGGTTAATAAATAATATCATAGATATTATCAATTTTTGTGTAAGTTTTGTTTGTATGTGATATAATTATGTATCTAAATAGATATTGTATATAATTAATAAATTCAATATTTAATATTTATATAAATTTATATTATATGTATAAGTTAAAATCTAATTAATCTTTTATTTTTTATTTTAAACACAATAAAGCACAACTAAATTAAATTTGAATCCGGTCTAAGTCCAATGTATCAAATTTCATATTGATTTAAATTTGAAGTTTCGATAATTAGAACATATTGGGATGTGGCTGGATCTATCCAACCTCAACCCAATTACAATGATAAAGACATGATGCATTTTCTTTTGTATTTTTGCATCTTTATATATATATTATGATGTCATAGGCTGAGATGATTGAACCATTGACTCACCATGCTCCACGAAGGTTGAATTTTAACATGGACCCAATCTTTTTTTTTATATGCAATATAGATCAATGCTATGTTAAATCGTAGGGTGTGAGATCAATATAAAATTAAATTTGGATTGAGTTAGTAATAATATAGACCATTTTGGTTAGGAATGAGTCAGACAAATTAATTAATTTTATTTATTTTTAATATTATTAGGCACCTAATCTTATATTAATATTTGTATTTAGTTTTTATATTAAATAAAATTTATAATATTATAAATAGAGTAGAATTAATACCAAATTAAATTAATAGATATTTAATAGACATTTCAATTAATGACAGCTGAACTCCTAAAGTCTCTTATAATTAAAGACAATTGAGTTACCAATATCTTTGAGTTATTTCTATCATTTAAAAATTCAGAAAAATAAAAAGAATTAGAAGGGTCTATGACAGTGAAGAGGTGCTCTCCTGAGCTGGGTCCTTTTATACATATTGATTTGTGTTGTGTTTTTAATAAATTTTCGTAGGCTCAATTTTAATTAGTTTTGTTCATTAAATATAACGTCAAAGTTATTTCAAGTTCATTTTATTAATTAATTATATAATATTTTAATCATTTTTAACTTAATTTATTTATAAAAAAATCTTTGCTACCAAAAAGACATGATACTGAAAGGGCTTTGACCAATCAAAATCCTGAATTTAATAAACAACCACCTGCTTGGTTGTCATTTTTATGATATAGGTTAATTGGTTCCAAGTGTTTTCGGTATAATAGGTGAAAATCTGAATTCGATACGAATCATACATAAATCGACATAAATCTGATTGATGAGATCTGATCCGATTTGATCAGTTTGCAGCCCCACTGATTTTCAGCAGGGTAGGCTGGAAGTAACAAATTTGTTGTCCAGCATGAAATCTTTCGTATGCCATCCCACCCCGGCCTGATTTTGGATTCCAATTTCCAAGTTCCTCTGATTGATAAAAAACAAAATGTTTGAAGAGGCAAGACAAGGTACTTTTCTTCCAACAGTGAAAATCACCTTGTATATTTTCAGAATTACCTTGAGAATATCATCATACAAGGAAATTTTTCATAGCTGAAGAGGTCATCCATACAACAACCTTTAGGGGACTGTACTGGAGATCCCACAACTTTTTTTTTTTTTTTGATAATGTCTCAGACATGGGTTTTCAAAATCTAAGGCATTGTACAGTTTGGTGTTTCTCAGAAGTGAAACTGTTCTAACAATGTTTGATTCTAGTAATCACACCCTGACTTTAGCTGCAGCTTCCTTGATTTGTTCAATTGTGAAGACGCCAAAGAAGTCATCATCTACTACTGCATTTATCACAGCAAGGGCAACATCGTCAACACTCACGGGTGGGGCCAAGAAAATATCAGATGCTGGAAGAGAATTCAATGGCTTTGTAAAATTTTCAGTTGCACGAAGAATTCTCTCCACTGGTTCCCCTATCAGATCAAGTGGAATCTCAAGGCCATCAACTTTCCGTCTCCCATATATGAAACCTGGTCTTAACACCACACCTGCAGAATCTTTGAATTTGAGAACCTATGGCAACAAACAGCAAAAGCCAAAAACACAGTAACGTGTGGTGAAGAAAGAAAAAATAGATGGAGGACTGAGTCAGAGACCATCAAGATGGGGGTTACCAGAATTTGGGTATTTGGAAAGAACTTCTGATTCTGCTTTTCTCTTTCCAGTGAAGTACCCAGATGAAAGTAGAAATGATGGTAGATTATAATCATGCACAGAGATCAAGATGAATTTGGGAATTCCTGCATTGAAGAATATAAAGAACATGACTTTTGATATCTTTCAAGTATTATACACAGAAAGTATAATCGATGGTTGATGCTATCAAGAAATTACAACATTGTGTGTCCTAATGTATACTACTATAACAAGTTCGAGCAGGGTCTAAGATTTCTGAAAATTTTCTTGACTAAAATATCCCCTTTTTTTAAATATATGGTCCCTCTTTATTGTGAGGGCAGAAAATGTAATTTGAATACTATTATTCAGTGCATTTAAGTTTTTTTTGAAGAATCAATAAGAAAGAAAAGGTTACATCCGATCACATTGGTTGTCTAAATGACACACCAACAACATCGAGAACATACTTCAATTACATGTCCAGAACATTAAACTGAGAACATTACAAGGCTGTAACTCAAATGAATTCCAGAAATTTTCCAATAAACCAACTTTGGAGACTTCTGAGCTCCAAATTATGACAACCCCTCCTGCCAATCCCGAAGCTTGTAGATCCACCCATTCTGCACCCTCCTCTCCCCAAATATCCAGTTTCAACCTCAAGTCAAAACTTTCCAGTTTTGTTTCCTGCAACAATACCACATCTGGTTTGATGTTTCTAATTAGATTTCTTACCACTTTCCATCTTTTCCATCCCTCAAACCTCTCACATTCCAACTGAGAATCTTCATCCCTCTCCCCCACCCCCCCAACTATCCTACTCCTCTTTACTTGTTCTCGTCCAAAATTTCCTCTTCTTCCTCTTCCTCGTTCCACCCCTTGTTTTTCTCTAGGATTTCTCTTTTTCTCTCTTTCTCTTCTTTCTTCTTCTGCTCAAATTTCTCGAACGCTATTTTGGCAAAACCTTCCCCTCCCCAGAAGACTAACCCAAGTGATTTCCCAATCTGAATCTCCCTCTCTACCAACTTTTCTATATTTACCTTCCCACCTTGTATTACCTCTGAATCATTTCGAACAATTTGAGGGGAGTACACAGTTACCTCCTTTCCTTCCACCTCCCTTATTTTGTTAACTTCATTCCTTTCCCCTCTTCCTGACTCTGTAGTAGACCCGATTGTCTCCTTTTCCTATTATAAACCTTGTTTTGAGATTCTCCCCCTTCCTCCCCTGCTCTCTGTCTTCTATTTGTCTTTGTTTTCTCCCTTTCTCCTCCTTTTAAACTCTCTTCACCCTCACTAATCTCCTTATTTAACCCTTCTAGTAGAGGAGTGTCCAGTACGAAGTATTGACTCACTTCCTTGGATCTTGGAGTCGAATCAGTATAGATAGAGTCACGGTTTTTCTTCTTACCTTCCCTCCTTCCTCTGCTCCTTCTTCCTCCGAAACAATATTCTTTGGAGAAGAGATATGCTCCTCTCCCTGTTCGAAGGAACTCCCCTGCAACTCCGTCACTTCTCCTTGTCCGTCATTAAATTTTTCCTCCCTATTATGTCCCTTTTCTTTATGCAGTTCGCCTGATCAAGACATCCATCATCTACTTTTTTTCTCTCCTACTCCATCTTTTCTCCCCGCACTGTGGGCTTTTTCCGCTGTCTCTGTCTTCTGGGATTGGAGCTCCTCCCCCGTTCTTGGTGGCCCTCTCTTGTCTTCTTCACCTCCTTGTCCTCTTTTCTCTCTTCCATTATCATATCTCATCACTACCTAGATCATTTCTCCTCTTCTTTTCCCTCTGTGAGCAGTCGATCTATTCTCAGACAATCGAACTTCTTCTCATTCAGCCGAATGTATCTTTTTCCAGAAATGCCCCTCTTCAGTCCCTTCTTTTTAAATCTCGCCTTTGCTTTAAGATTAACCGCCAACCTATTTAGACTGTTAAACTTCTTTAACTTACCGGCTGGCACCGGTTCCTCTCTCTCTAGCTTCTTCCCCTTTTCTTTTGATGTAATTCCTATTTTATCCCATGACCCATCGACTCCCACCCGTTTCTTTTTTTTTCAATTCTTCTCTCATCCCCACCGTCCATTTGTAGCCTTCCTTTCATTGCCTTTTCCAGCTCAGCATCTTCTTCCTCTTCTCTTCGTCTCTTCAACTTCCCCTTCTTCTCCATCCTCTCCTCTGCACCACCGATTGAGCTCTCTTCTTTCTTCTTCCTCCCTGATTCATCCTCCTTCCTCCGTTCTTCCTGGAAACTATTTGCCTCCTGTTGCTCTATTATCCTACTAAACGTTCTGTCCATTCCTTCCACACACAGTCTCAGCTCGTAGCTTTCTCCCGCAAATACCAGTCTTAGAGCTTGAGGAATTTCACTCACATCTTCCACTTCCACCAAAATTCTTGCCACATCTACTTTCTCCTATTTCCTGTTTCTGTCATCAAACCTAATCAGGTTTCCACATGTTGCTGCTATTTCCCCACTATGCTTATCCACGTCACTCCCCTCCTTTTCTTCACCTCTCCGGCTGCTGGTGTCCACCATCCCAGTCTTAAATCGAAATTTCTTTCCTTTGTTCTCTCCTCCTTCAAAACCTGCTCTGAGAAGTTTCTATTCTTGAACATAATTAGCAACAGTTCTGCGTTGAGCTTTCTCACCCCCAAAACCTTCTCTCTTCTCCATTCTAACATTGCTCATTTCTCAAACCCCTTCGTTTCCACCTTTGTACCTACAATTCTTCCTACTAGACTTGCACGAAGCACTTCCACTTCCCAGTCTTCCGCACCTCCATGACTCTAACCTGATTATGCCCATTAAATCCCGCATACCTCCATGACTCTAACCTGATTATGCCCATTAAATCCCGCATTTAAGGTGCATTTAATTTCCTCTCATTAAATCCTGCATTTAAAGTATTAACTCTCATTCACCCTCATTGAATCATATATTTTAGGCATTTTTATTTCTTATCATTAGTAAATTCCACTAATTAAATTAGTACATTTTCTTATTTAATTCCACTAATTAAATCCATACATAATAATTCCAATAACATAAAAACTTGTAGTTTCAAAATCAGCCTAGAAAAAAACAATGCTTTCATCTAGGTGGTGGTAAGAAATTAAACCATTTGGGGTCAAATTGGCCTACCCTTGTTGTCGTAATTAAATAATAAAATTTCAAAAATAGATAAAATGAAAAGAATTATAGGAAGTAAAGAAAATTTTGGGAACATCTTTAACATCATAAATTCTTCATATTAAACAAGAATAAGTATGATAAATACAAAATATTTTTATTAATAATGGAAATGGAATATATGTTGACAAAATTAAATAATAAAATTTCAAAAATAAATAAAATGAAAAAGAAATAAAAATTAAAGAAAATTTGGGAACATCTTTATCATCATATGTTCATCATATTAAACAAGAGTAAGTATGATAAATACAAAATATTTTTATTAATGATAGAAATGGAATATAAAATTTAAAACCAATTGGAAATAAAACTATTTTCCTATTCTCTCTCTCATCAAGTCCCGTATCTAAGGTATGTTTTCTCATTAAATCCTAGATTTAAGATATATTTTCTCATCATTAAATTCTACTAATTAAATCCACAATATTAATTTCAATAGTATAAAAATAAATATTTTGAAAAGTAATTTGAAAACAAAACCATTCTCTTCCCTCTTGGTGGTGGGTAAACAATTCAACCATTTGGAACAAATGGATTAATCATTAATATCATAATTAAATAATAAAAAGTTAAAAGTAAATAAAATATAAAAATACAGAAAAATAAAAAGAATTGGGCATATCTCTAATATTATATATTCATTATACTAAATGAAAATAAGCATGATATGTAAAAAGTATTTTATTAATGATGAAAATGGTATAACAAAATTTAATAAAATATTAATAATAATAATCGTTACTATAACTTAAAATTTCCATGTGCAACGCATGTGCACATTTACTAGTCTCATAATTACTCAGGGAATCAAACATCAGGCAATTTGACCAATAGGACTTGTCAAGGAAGGTAATATTCTTAAGAAGAGATTGGGCTTCTGTTGGCTGCCCTACATTAGGGGATTTGAAGATGCAGGCGCCATGAATCTATGAAGAAAAGAATAGTAGTCAAATAGATTAGTCAATGAATTGATAAAGCATTGGTTGTGTAGCACCAAGGAACCATTCTTTGGTGTAATAGTAAAATCTCAAGCTGACAAGTGGGCAGTGAGATTTTGTCTGAGAGCAGCTGCTTTGTGAAAAAAAAGCTTGCCAAAGGTTAGGTCTGTATCCAGTCAACCCTTTCCAAGACCCAGATAGCTAGACCAACATTGAGTAATGGCCTTTTTTGTTGGAAATTGGCACTAATACCAACATTGAGCTGGCTAAGTTCCAACTTTCTGAAAAACCTCCTTTCCTGTATGAAATTATGAATAGCATATCTAATAGGAAAACAGAACCTGGATAAGTCCTTACCAAAATCCTTTGCAGCACCTACTGCCAAGATATTAGCCTCTCCATTTATCTTTTTCATTTGCTCCTCACTTCCAAAGCCTCCAAGTGTTGAAACAACTGCAGTAGCTCCAACCAATACTTCATCCCACTTTGCATAGAAGACGTCTCCTGCACAAATAACACAAAAGATTTAGAGGAACTACTAAGCATGTAAAAACTAGATTAAAGAGATCAGATAATTATCACTTAAAAACACATGCAGATGTGAATCCAAAAAGAAAAAAAAAAACGACAACAAAAGTGAAAACAAATAACCACCCCACCACCAAAACTATCTTGATAACCACTAGATGCCCACCCAAAACACTTCTAGAATTCCTAACTTTTATTTATTTTTTTATCTTCTTTTTACACCATCTCTTCAAGGGACACAAAAAGGACCATGATTGCTTTTATGGCCCTTTGAGAGAATATTTTAACAAAGCCAACTGGCTATTACCCAGTGATGACCCAGGCTATCCAGGTCCTTCGGAGGCATATAAAAGATATGGATGGACTTTTAGCCTTTTTCGCTCACATAGTCGCTTTTTTTATCAGTTAAAAGAGATTTCATTAATATCAAGTTCAAGTATTAAAATTAGGTAGGGATTTTCTCCGCCCCAAAGACAACTTTATAATTTATAATTTTGCCCAAAACACTTGGTGCCTAGCTGTCCCTTGTTTAGCCAAAACATCCACAATCCCATTTCCTGATCTTCTCACCCATTTAAAGACAACATTCAGCTCCCTTGTTATGCTTTGTATATACCAAAAAGTGTGTATAGATCCATGAAATGACCACCTGAGAGTCCCCTTCCAATTCCAAGTTGTGGAATCTGAATTGCTTAGCAAATTTATAGATCCATGGGATTTGGGACACACAGTTGCCATTCTCAGACTCAAACCCATATTCTCATTCTTGTTACCCCGAGATTTTACCATTGCACTAAACACAGCACAAGGTTGTCCCATATATAGTTAAAAACACAATAAAACAAAACATAATATAAAATAGTACAGCTTAGTCTCCTTGCTGCACCTCTAGGTCTGGAGAAATCCTCCTACACACACTGACACACATGCCAATTCAGATTTCAGACCTTACTCCTCCCCTTGCTATAGTGAGCTAGAGTTGACTGATCTAAGGGCCCACCTGAACAAGCTGTTCACCCTAGAAGCTAAAGCTCTAGCATCTCAAATGAGAAACCTGTGGGACCACAGATAATCACGGCATCCACCACCAGCAACATGACAATCTCTTTTTTCTTAAAGTAAAAAGAAAATCCGTTAAGAACAAAACAGGTTTTTTCTATAATCAACCCAGTCCAACCTGAGAACCAGACCAGCTTGGACTCTCTAGTAGTAACAAAATTTCAGACCTCAAAGAATTGCCTTCCTCAACTGGCCCCAAAAAGCTCACGATGGTTGTTGAGACACAAATAAAGGGAATACAAGTGTACAAGAAAAGGCCACGCCAGCCTTTAAAGAATGTAACTAACAGCCAACCACTAGAACAAACCAACTAACAAACTGGACAAGTGGAGAGGCGGGTATAACAGAATTGTAACAGTAGTATATAAATAAGGAAAGGAAGCTAGGAGGGGATTTATCGATTTGGRAWACARTCTCTCTCTCTCTCTCTCTCTCTCTCATTCAGGAAGCAAGCTCCCTCGAAAGAGTCCCTGAGTTAGGCAGTACCTAACAAGTTGGTATCAGAGCCAAGATGCCAAGCACAAGGTCATCCGCAATGGAGAACAGAATCAACAACATGGAAGGAGAAATGCAAAGAATATCGGCTGACGTCAAAGAAATCAAAGAAAGCTTCGCATCCTTGCTTGAACAACTGGCACAGGCACCACCTGCGTCGAATCAGGAAGAGCGCAGTGACACCAGTCATCGAAGCGGATCAAGAACAGCAAGAATCGAGTTTCCCATCTTCGTAGGGGGAGATCCCACATCCTGGCTTCTGCGAACAGAAAGATACTTCGATTACCACGACACACAGGGACCTGATCGTGTCTCATTAGCTTCTGCACACCTGGAAGGAGAGGCAATCGTCTAGTACCAGTGGTACTGGCGACGACACCCAAGAGCCACATGGGCAGACTTCACCAACGCCTTAACTATGCGATTTGGAGTCTCGGCCTTTGAGAACTATGATGAAAGCCTCGCTAAGCTACGACAGACCAGCTCCATCCAAGATTATCAGATGCCGTTCGAAAGATTAGCTGTGTGCGTGCAAGGCTGGCCAGAAAACGCGCTTGTCGGCAGTTTTGTTGGTGGACTCAGGGAAGAATTGCGGCTGGAGGTAAAAGCCATGCAGCCCACCACCATTCTTGAAGCAGCAGCATTAGCTCGACTACATGAAGACAAACTGAATCGGGCAAGAAGGATTAATCAACCTCTGGGAGCTGCGATCATACTAGGTATACCGAACCCAGAACCAGGTATCTTGGGTAAACCGGAGCCCAGATCAGGAATAGGAATCACAGGCAAGGACGCCAACTCTGGTTCAGGCCCCGACTCAGCCAAGAGGTTAACCTGGGCTGAGATGCAAGCCCGACGGGAAAAGGGCCTTTGTTATGCATGTGGAGACAAATTTGGGTCGGGCCATCGCTGTAAGATCCCTCAAGTTTTCTTCCTTCAACCTGAAACCGAATATGTCGAGCAATCAACAGACATTGAAGAGCCAATGGACAACCAAGAATGGGAGCAATGGACAAAGGAATACTCGGAAGTATCCCTGCAAGCCTTGACCGGTCTTGCTTCTTCTCAAACTATGAGAGTAACCGGACTGGTACAAGGGCGCCATGTGTCAGCTCTGATAGACAGTGGCAGCACTCTCAATTTCATTACCCAAACATTGGTCAGACAACTAGGGATTCCGGTCCAACCATGTACAACCTTCCGAGTGGACGTAGCTAATGGGAGCAACCTGGTGTGCAACAGTACGTGCACAGAATTAAAGATGAAGATACAAGGACATGAGTTCGAGGTAGATCTACACCCCCTGGAAATCAGTGGAGCAGATGTAGTTCTGGAGTCCGATGGTTAAGGCAACTAGGGCCGGTGATATGTGATTGGGCCCGCCTCACCATGGATTTTCAAGTGGGCAGCTCACAGGTGCATATTCAAGGGCAGCTGTCCAAGGGTCCAGGACCCATTAGTCTCGCCTCCCTAAGGAAATAGGCAACAGACCAAGCCCACATCATATTAATGCAGATAGACTCCCACAGGAACGGCCCCATTCTAGCCCAAGGAAGCAGATCCGAAGAAGGCCACACACAACTACAGCAGCTACTTCAGAAGTTCTCAGTGATCTTCCAAGAACCTAAGGAACAGATTTCAGGTGGATACGCAAAGGGGATCACATCGAACCAAAGACATTGGTGGTATGGTCAGGTCTCCCAATTGAGGATGCAACTTGGGAACCTTACTTGGATTTACAGAATAGATTTCCACA